GTTTTCAAAAACCCTAGCTCACTCCACTCTTGTCCCAGCCGCCAACAATGGAGACCGTTAGATCTAGATTAGATCCAACGGTCCACAGCAAATGATATCCAAGGGTTTCCCAGAAACCCTAGCAAGTCTCGCCCCAGCGCCGCAATACCCGGTCGAAGCTCCCTCGCGCAACACGCCTCCCACGGCCGATTTTCTCGGCGTCGTGACGACATGGACAAGCAACCAAGTCAGAGTCGTGGGTTAGTAGGATACTCACCAACACAAGCAAACCGAGTTTCACTCGGGATCAAATATTAAAAATAGGGCATTTTTGTATTATAAATAAGCATAACTAGACAGTTTAGGGAGGACACGAATTACTCACGAAATTTCCAGAAAAATACGAGCAAATAGATAGTGGCATCGAAGCATTTGTAACAAGTTGTGAGAGAAATAAAAAAGGTAGCATCTTTTTTTTACCTTCGTTCGTTCGTCTTCCCTTTTTGCATTTTGATATTTCCTTGAGTTTGAACCCTGAGAAATCATTCATGGCTGATGAATATGGGGCAGTTTTCTAAGATATTTTCTTAGATCTACACACCCCATAGGCATTTTATTTTAAAAAATCTTTGGATTTTCGAAAAAAAAAACAGAGGAAAGCTTTTGAAAAAACAAAAAAAAATCAATTTTTGTCGCCAATGAACGGCGGCGGCGAGGCGGCGCACACGGCTGGTTTATGGGTTATTTGAATAACACGACTATGTTCTTTAAATATGAAGAATAGGCGAGAGAAAATGAGAGTTGGGGAAGGCTCTCGATTTGGAGAGTGAAGAGAAATGAAGAATTATAGAATTTTTTAGGTTTTATACCAACCAGAGCGGTGACCCGCACGTCGACCCAGACCCGGGAAGGATCCGCGTGTTTTCGTCAAAAGGGGTAAACTACGCTTTTCGTCCCTCTTATTTTAAAACGCCTATTTTGACCCCTTCCCCCAAAATCGATTTTTAAACCCCAAATCCCTTTTAATTTGGCCACGTGATTTTCCTTTCTTTTCAATTTAACCCTTGTCAACTTAAATTTATTTATTAAATTTTAATTTTCTGTTCTTTTAATTATTTTTGTTATATATATATATATATTACGCTTTATTAATTTTATTATATATTTTTTTATCATTAGTATTATTATATATTTATATTTCCTATTTTATTTCCTATATGTATATATATAGTTTTCCTTTTACTTTTGATTTTCTATTTTATATTATTTTTCTTATTTTATTATTATTATTTTACTTATATATATATATATATATATACCTTTACTTTTTTATGTTTTATTTATTTATTAATCTATTTATTTATTTCATCTCTTCTAACACATATTTTGACTTTTAAAGGGTACACTCTCAAATCAATCATTTGTAAGTAGTTGACTTCTTATTTTTACCTTTAAATTTAACTTGCAATTTTCTTAACTTAAGACAACTGGAAATTACGTAGTTCCGAAAGGGCAGTTCAAGGGTGCTAACCCTTCCTTGACTGTAACCGACTCCCGAATCTGACATATCACTGGTAAGACGTAGATCATGTAAGAAACAAGGTATCTGATCAACCCATTTTTATAAAATAAATGATCGGTGGCGACTCCTAATCCAATTATTTCAAGTCAAAGCCCAATTCTGGGCCCACCCGAAAGACGGTTCTGACAGCTCCAACATTATGACCAGCCTTCTTATTAGTCAATCACTTGCGAATTAACACATATGGATGACATGAAGATGCAAATGCAAATGCAACCCAATATTGATTCCAAAATAATTTAGTTTATATAGAAAGTACTCAACAACACACATTGTCTAAGCACTTAGGCAAAGAGAATACATCAACATGGAAATTAAGCATAGAATCTTGCCCCATTCACTAATCTCTCAAGATCTATCATCAATCCCATGATGTGTCATTCTTCCTATGTTTCTGGAATCACGAAAACTCTTAAAGTTGCCGCTTCTTCAGATAATTCGTAGACTTGGCGATCTACATCGCGAGCATGATTCACTGCTCTCTCCATTGCTTCATGTTGCCTTTGAATGGTGTCCTGAGCCTCTTGTGCAGATGAGTGGATCAACCCTGCTCCTAGCTCTGCTATCTTCTTCTTTAACATCTCATTTTCTTTTTGAAAAAGGAACTCATTGCTGTTATAAGGGTTCTGAAAAGTCTTATCCAAATATATGTGCTTCGAACTGCTCAATATGTACTCGCCTTTGTGCTAATTCATGGTTAGCCTCATCTCTTTGCTCTCTCAGACTCTGAGCGTGCTACCGGGCTCGGATAATTACCTTCTCTGGAAAAACTGATTCTTCAGTAGTGACAAGGATGTCTCTAAATTGCGTCTACCCATACTCGAACCAGGTCTGAACACTGATTGTATTCTCAGTCCTATCAGAATACATTGTTGCCTTAAGCTCTTTTTATAATAACTAGGTAATCTGGGAATCAATACCGTTTATGAAATGATGTGATGTGACAATGATACATGCAAAAATGCAATAAGAGCATACAAAAGAAAATCAATGTTAGTAGAAACAAGACAACAAGAATCAAGTTAGTTGAAATGATTAGTCAAAAAAATATATATAATCTTAAATATGACTTAAAGTTGAGACTAAAAAATAAAGCATAAAAGGAAATTAATGGTCCTAACTGCATGTGTTCTAGTTCTCCTAGGTTATCCATATGGCTCTTAGCGGGGTAGGCTTACTAAATTCTCTATATGAAGTTGGGTTCTAGCAAAGGGTTCCCAAGCCACTTTTACAACATGCTAAGGTTACCCCCGATTCTGGCCCATTACATACTTGCACATCGAGTTCAGCTCAGGGGATCACACCACTAAAAGCGTACCTCGGAACTTATATCCAGACAGGCAATTTAGGGTGCTTTCCAGAGATACTTTGTCAGACCCACACAAGGAAGCCCAATGCTCCTCGTGAGGTGTGACGTTTCTCCCTACTTAGGTAAATCGAGTTTGTGCTCGAGTTCAGAGCTATGATATGCAACAATCCTAAATAATTCCACAAAAGTGTAAGCATTAACCAGAGAGAAATATGTTTTTTCTTTTTTTTTTGAAATAACATAATGAACCATAAATTATACAAGATCAACTCGTAATTTTCAAATAATAAATATAGGGTAACCAACTCGTGCCTCGACTCTCAATTTGTTTAAAAACAAAAGTCCCCAGCGGAGTCGCCAAGCTGTCGTAACCGTTTTTCGCCCGAAGGGAAAAAGACCAATACCGACTCGAGGTTTTCTCTTTGAAAATCATTTCGAAATATGAGGAGTCACCACCAATCGTTTAAGGTGAGATTGGAACACCATAAAAAACGGATCCATTTAATAAAATATTTTGTTTTTATCAAAATATCGGGTTTGAAGGTCTGCGAAAATCCAAAAATTAGGTTCAGGAGTCAGTTACGCGTGGGGAAGGATTAGCACCCCCACAAGCTCCCAAAAATTGGTACCTAGTTGATTACCCTATATTTAAAATCAAAAATTTAGAGTTCAGACTTTATTTAATTTAAAAATCATTAAGGATGTAAAGTTGAAAAGGGTATTCGTTTATCGAGACCGATAGTATTCACCCCCGAGCGTAAATGCGGGAGATCAGCTATTGTGCCTAATAACCAATAGTATTCGTTTATCTAAGGCATTGTTCACTTATTCAAGGAATTACTAGTAGTCACCCCCTGAGCATGATCGCGGGAGATATAATATTAATTCCTTAATAAGTGAACAATGCCTTAGATTTGTAAAAACAATGCAATCAAACAAAATTTTATTTGTCCTAATTAAACTAAAAATAAATTAAGGTTTTTTCTAGTCAAATTATAAAAATTAAAGAATATGAGCTCAAATTTAAAATGTAATTTCTAATATTAATACTTAATGCTATATATTTAAAAAGATTATATTCACGTATTAAAAAGTTTCCTTCGATAATTTTAAAATGCTCGAATATCCAATTATGTTTTGGTCAAGTTATGCATATGAGATTAACATACAAATTAAATAAAATATATCTATACACAAAGAAATATACAAAAGTAGTAACTTTATATATACTAGTTATCAACCAATTTTTTTTAAAATACTTATTAATATATACACATATTTATTACGTTAACATGGAAAGAAAAGAAATTTCAATTTCATGATCACATGTATATATATATAAATATTAAATTCCTTAATAAAAGGTAAAGTAAAGCATGATTAACGCATTTCATTAATAAAGGATATATATATATATATATATATATATATATATATATTATATTAACATGGAAGGAAAATACAACATTGAACGACATTATAGGGTCAACACACCTACATATATATTAATTCTTTAATAAAGGCTATACAAAGCATTCATACCATATTTGTTTACAAAAGGATATATATATATATATACATGCCATATCTTGATAAAAAAATCATATGTATTATATATATGAATATGTCACGTATTTAACAACCAATTATTAACCCAATATAATATAATATATTAAAGGATTACTACAGACATTTACCTAATACAAAATTCATGTTTTAAGCAAAAATATACGGGATCATTAAAAACAATCATACCTAATATAATAACAATAAAATAAAAGTAAATAATATAATATATATTCTAACATAGAAATACAACTCACTCTAGTAAACATGCAAATTAAATTAGGGACTAAGATGAATTATAATGAAAACACGATGACATGAAACTAAATAACTCAAAATATTATACCTAAAATATAAATTTTGAAAATAATTAAACCAAGACAAACACAAAATGCTAAACTAAAAATCAGTCCTTACAAGTGACTAATATGCAAATAAACGACAAAGGTACAAGGGCACGAAAACAAATTACTCTAAAGTGTCAATTACTGAAAGTTAATTTACCCATAAATATTAATATAAAACCTAAACTAACACTAAACCTAAGCTAAACTTAAACTTCATCAGCCGTATTCATCACCCTCTCCACTCTCCCTTTCTTATTCATTCATGGCCGCCTCTCACTCTCACACTCAACACCCTCGGCAACTCCCTGTTAAACACCCCGATCTCAAAGGGAGAACAAGCTAAAACCAAACCCGAAATGAGCCCCAACTTTCTTCCTCATAACATCATTCATCAACGATTTCCTTTCCTCGGCCACCATACATCTTCACTCCCGACGACAGCTCCGATGCTCGGACAAGGTAAATTCTCTCTTTCACTCTTTACTATTTTGATTCAAAAGGGAAAAACATTTATTTACTAAGACTAACATCAATCTATTTTATTTTCATATGGAACTCGAACGGCGATGAAAGGAGTTGCGCTCACACGACCCATGTAAATCTTTAATCCCTCTCTGTATTTTATTTTTAGCTTCAAAATGATATAAACATGCACACAAAGAAAATACAGATTTACTATGTAAACTTTGAAAGAAATAAAGGAAACCCCTTTTGCATTACTTGTTCTTATCGACATGAATCAGAGGAAGCTCCTCTGCTTACATTTTTTCTGTTTCAAAGGTGAAGCCCCCCTTTACAATTTGTTTCCCTAAAATCTAATGCTCTCTCTTGTTATTCCATTGATTCCCCACTTCTTCCTTTTTTTTATGGCCGAGAGAGCCCCCCTTTTCTAGGTAGCAGAAACCTCTCCTGTTACAATTTTTCTTCACCTAATCCCTTTGTCTTTCTTTCCTTTTTTCTTCATTGCTTTATTTGGTAAAATGATGATGGGTTTAGGTGAAATTAGGTTGGGATTTGTCTTTGTTTTTGGTGGCTGATTTGTTTATGTTTTGCCGTTGTGCTTAGATTTGGTGGCGAGAATGGCGTGCGGCGCTGGTAGCTTGCTTCACTAGGTCTCGGCTCGGTCATGGCATCGGCTGGAAACTGGAAGGGCTGCTGGTGGCTTGGTATTAATTTGGAGTTCAAATTCGGGCCTGGTTCGGGTCTTCGGGTATTCGAGTTGATTTTATGGACTCCGGGATTTGTTGTAATATGAGTTTGTAAATTGGGACTGCAAATGTAAATTAATAATTAATAATAATAATATATTTTTAGGACGAAAAAATGTGTGTCAACATGTTCAAGATGATAACATTAATATAAACTAAATTGATTGATTTTTGTTATATATTCACTCGTATGACTTCTAAATGAATGCATTAACTCTTGTTTGCGATGTTCTTGTTGGGGACTTAATACACATTATGGTGTTAAACGTTGTCTATGTTTATTTAACTTCTGATTTGATATGTTCAAGATATTATGGAACCTTGAATTCCTAGTTCGAGAGCGATCAAATTTACTTTAAATGGGTGACCGATGTGACTCAAAAGTCGAGGTTATACTTTATTACCATATGCAAGATTTACGATGCATGTTAGTACTTGGTTGATGCATGAATGTAGTTATTTGGTCATGTAAATCCTGGTAGTTATTTCTAAACTCGTACTAGATATAGTAGAGGGAAATGATTGGTTAAGACTCGATTGAATTGCTCAAGAAAACTAGAAGACCGATAAGAAATAAATTCAAGTTTAGTAGTTAATCGACAAAATAATTTTCCTTAAAATCCTTAAATTTTGAATATTACCATCAAAAGTTTTAATGTCGGAAATGGTTGGATAGGAAAATTATAAAAATATCCTTATGAAGTAAAACGAAATTTGAATTGGCCCGAACAGTACTAGAATTGACATGAGAATTCGTTATTGACTTGATAGAACTACATATACTCCAATTGAACTCTTGATTTGTCTGGAAGTCCTGATAATAAGTTCCTAACCTTCGAGATCACATCATACTCGAATATTCTTATTTATAAATAAGTATATGAAGATTAACCTACCGAAAGTACTCTATACATATGAATTGAATAAAATGATCGGAATATCCTCAAGAGCCGTAATAACTAAAATAACACTGAAAAGTCGTACTTGGTCTGATAGAACTATCACTTCACTTGTTAAATACTCTATATGTTTAGAGAAACCCTAATAATCAATTTTTACCTCCGAGAGCGAAGAACATACTTAGAATTTCTAATTTCTGGGCAAACACCCAGAGACTAAATTACCGAAAGTACATTTTCGCTTGAATTCTTTGAAAAGAGTGGATCAAATGAAAGGACTGAAATGCCTTTGAGTATTGAAATGACCTAAAACCCTCATGACTTAGAAAAAATTGAATGCCATTGGATAAATTCAGGAAACACCGATGAAGCTAAGTATTGTACTGTCCTTTAAGGTTTGGAGCACGACCCAAGCATGCTGATCTTTCTTATACACTAAAGAAATGCAGAAACAAAGTAAATACCCCTGGAATACATGTTCGTCTCCCTAAGCACATCAGGTGTATTCTAGTGTTAAATGTTGTCTATGTTTGTTTTAACTTCCAATTTGATCTGTTTGAGATATTATGGAACTTGAATTCATGTTCGAGAGCTATCGCATTGAGTTTAAATGGTTGATCCATGTGGCTCAAAAATTGAGGTTATACTTTATTACCCTATGCATTCTTTACGATGCATGTTAGTACTTTGCTGATTCATGAACGTAGTGATTTGGTCATGTAAATCATGGTTGTTATTTCTAAACTCGTACTAGATATAGTGGAGGGATAATGATCAGTTAAGACTCGATTAAATTGTTTAAGAAAACTAGAAGACTGATAAGAAATAAATTCAAGTTTAGTGGTTAATCGACAAAGGGATTTACCTTAGAATCCTTATATTTTGATTATCACCATTAAAAGTTTTAATGTCGAAAATGTTTGGATAGGAAAGTTATCAAAATATACTTATGAAGTAAACGGGGATTTGAATTGGCCCGAATAGTGGAAATGACCTGAGAATTCGTCCTTGACTTGATGGAATCACAGATCCTCCGAGAAAAAATAAATAAATATTATATGAATAAAATACTACAAAAATTACATGAATACAATAAAAATATACAAGGTATTAAAATATGCATAAAATAAAAATTATAAGCGATTTACAACTTTGAAGTAGAAGCCCACATTGACATGCAAAGCCCACAAAATGAAATCACAATAAAATATTTTTACGTATATCATTAATTGGTTAAAGTACATTAATAATCTTAATATTATATAAAAATTTATTTTAATCTCTATAAAGTTAAAAGGAATATTTTTTATTTATGTACATTTAGAAAAGTAAATATTTTGCCCAAAATTTTAAATATATCTTTAGTTTAACTAAACTATTGAGTTTATACGACTAGGACCCTATCAATTTTAAATATATCGTTACTTTAACCTCTAAATTCTAAATTTGAACACTAAATCCTAAACACTTAATAGGATACATGACAACTTTGGAACAATGGTTGTAAAAATATTTTTTCCGTTGCCAGTGTATGAGATAATGATCCATTTATAAATTGGGTAAAACTATTCTTCTGGAAAACAATTAAAATCTGGTCTATAAACATTTCAAAAGTAAGCAAATAAATATGACCTATGATGACATTAAGTTTTTCAGTTTGTACATGATACATGTACAATAATGATTAGATTCATACTAAATAATAATAATAATAATATCATAATGTGTTGTTCTTATTTGCTCACCTTTGAAACATATATAGATTAAATTGTACTATTTTTAGAAGGATAAAACCACTTAATTTATAAATTGATAGTGACTTAAAAGATATTTAAATCCAGTATTTTAGTTAAACTAACTGTAGATTAACATTTTGGACTGAAATATTAATTTTTCAAACATAGAGAGTAAAATGTATCTCTAAATAATATAGAGACTAAAATATTTTTTTATCCAGTAAAAAAGCTTCTAATAGAGTTTAACCATTAGTAACTTGATATATACATATGAGTATTAAAAATATTATTTATTTCTGAAGTGATTTGTAACTAATATTTATTCGATGAATGTAAATATTATATAAAATGAATAAGATGTGGTTGAAGTATCTTGTTTTCTTTATAATCTAATCATGAAGGGAATGACATCGATTATGGGCGAATTGGGCTTAAAACCAAAGTTGTTTGTCTTGAAGCTATCTTTCTCGACTTTTTTTGATTAAGATCAAGTGTAGTATCTGTTCTTATCAGTTTAATATCTAATATATGATCCACAGTAACTTAGTATTGGGGCTCTCGAGCGTCGCACTACTGCTCAGGCCTGGCGCACCCCACCCAATCTCATGTTTAATGTTTCAATTTTTTTTATTCTCAATGCAAATCTATTCTTCTCACTAACCATTCCTCCTTCATACCATGCATTTTGTACATCCATTGTATTGCTCCTTTCCTTCTACAAAATAAAGCGTTTGAAACTATAATTAAAATAATTCTTCTTATTGGGGTTTCAGTCCTGAATATTTAATTCATTTAACAACTCCAACTCGAATAATTTCATATAGATTATGATTAAGAAATTTTACAATAGATCTACTAATATTGTGCGCTATCATTAAGTAGTCCTTTTATGACTTGATATATAAATAGGTATATCCTCCATTAACTTTAGGTACTTGAAGTTTTTTTTTTTTTTTGATTTAGAATTGCTGCTAACATTATCATCGTTCTCACTTTTCACCCCTTTAACTAGCGACGTAGAACACTCACATAAGGCCGCATGGTAATACTCGAATCTGATTATGTTGTCATGGTTAATAGTAAGCTTCTTCGCAACGAGGAGGATATATCTACATCGGTGATGTATCTCCAAAAAGCCAAAGATCATTTTTAGAGCTTTCCTGGTTTTCATATTTCTTTAGTTCAACGTTTTTGTAATGTGGTTGCTGATTGTTTAGCTAAATGGGCTATCTGTTATTTGTCTTCATTTTTTTTTACTCGGTTTGTCCCGAGATTATCTCTTCATAGGTTTTAAACAATGTACGGTTTATTTAATTCAATCTAGCTTGGGCACTCTTTTTCTCTCGTATGACCAACAATTTGGTGTTAGGTAGGAGGAGTTTTTAACGAGACCCATTTTCTAAAGAAAAAGAATTATGAAAATATGAAAAATACGACCAAGAAATACCTAATAGAACTCAAGTGTAATATTCAGAACTAGGTTATCCTAAGATTCCAAATCAATATTGTCAAATGTTAGAATTTTGAACTCACTATGATTATCATTAAACGGTTAGAAATGTAAGATTAACTAAAAAAGTTGAGAAAGCCTACTAAGATTGAAGAACACTAGCATAATTATCAAAGGATTATTTGAAATGCTATTTTAGCCAATGTCCTTGGTAAGTATTGTAACTAATATAATATTGTAAAACCAAACTGAAATTTTACAACCAACCCTTAGTTTCCATAAAATCTTATGTTTTAACTTTTAAAGTTCGAAGCCCCTGATTCTTATGGTAGAACTATTTGAAATTTTAAATTATGAAATATAAAAATAAGGATCCTCAAAATTATGTATTTAATCTTATGTAAGCAAAAAACATAAGGTTTAGTGAGAGAAAATCATCTCTCTTCTCTCTAGGTATTTTTACTTGGTTTTCTGAAAATAATGGTTTGTTTAGGTTCCTTCCTAAATCAGGTCATGGTTCTTATGGTTTAAATCAAAGTTTTGTGGAGTTTGTTCCTCTAATTTCCCAATCTTGCATCGACTTCCCCTTGTTTTTTCATCCTTTTCTTATTCAAGTTCTATCATTATCTCTTTAGCATCATAGCAGGATTGTATAGGTGAATCCACCCATGAAAGACTAGTAGAGAGAGCTAAAGTCATGAAATAGGCATCTCGTAAAAGGAAGAGATGGAAAAGAAATAAGGTGTAACACCCTAAACCTAATTGGTCCTAAAGTGACACATTGGGCTATCAAGGCAACCCATGATTTTCAAAACCTACTTGTTTTCTTTTTAAAACATAATCAATGGTATCATAATTAAAAGCATACATAACAATTATAAAAACATTTTATAAAACGGATCTCCATGACACATAATTTAAAATAAAATATTACATCATGGCGTTTACAACTCAAATACATAAGTAAGGTTCTTT